TGGCGCCACCGCAGCTGAAGACCGACAAAGAGGGGGGGGGGGGGGGGGGGGGGGGGGGTGGTCACTGCAGCAGGACAGACGGGCTGAGACCAGGACACAGGAAAAGTGAACAGAGAACTATTTCTGGCTCTGGATTTAATTGGCCATGAATCCTCACATGATGATGATGATGATGATGAGGATGAGAACCTCCCTAATCACACACCACTTCCTGGGTTTACTGCTGACTGTTCCTCACACTAAGACTCACACCTGTCTACAAGTCTGGAACATCTGTTTCACCAGAATCCAAAAAAAAACAAAGATCTGGAAAAACAGAGGCTAAGTATGTTAGCATGACAGGCTAATGAGTTGGACTTTGATTCCTCATCACAGAATCCCACCAACTCTGGAGGAAGATGAAGCTCTGCCCCCCCTTATGGTTATATCAGGGGTGTCAAACATGCGTCCCGTGGACCAAAAGTGGCCCACTGGGGGGTTCAAAGTGGCCCGCGTGATGAATTTTGAAATTTTTAATGCACAAACACTTCAAGTCTGTGATGTTTTTTTTTAGAATATTTTGGACAAAACCCTTAGGTTTAGACTCAGCAGCAGAATCAGTTCCAGTTAGTACCACTAGTCTCATTCTCACAATCATAAAACTCAGAATCCATTCTAAGTCTTCAGTGGTGCAACAGCAGCACTCCGTTATCAAAGAGGGCCCTCTAATGGCCACAGATGATACGGGTTACACTTTGAGTGACAGGATCATCCACAATCACTTTGATACACGTGCGGACCAGTCATCTGATGTCATCGCGCCGGCCGTCGTCCTCAGACAAAGACGGCCACTTCCTGTACGGCCTCCATTGATGGGACGGTCCTGGATGTTACAAGAGGAAAGAATGGAAGGGCAACCTGAGCCTGTCACTGAATCCAGTGAGAACCAAGGTCTAATGGACCGAGTGGAGAAGAGGACAGTGGACTCTGTAAACAGATCCCACATCTTACAGCTCACAGACGGCAGCAGTGGTGGGTTTTAGGGGGGGGGGGGTTTAAAGGCAACAGGGTTTTACATTACAAATTCTGCAGATAGTAGTAATTATTCCAACAAGGATTCATCAGTTGAAGGACGAAAAGTCTGATATTTAGTGTTCATTATCCTGGTCTCTGTGTCTCCGACAGATTTGACCAGTTTCATAATCAGTGTTTCCTTTGATTTGATCAGATTTTTTGTTCAACAAACGTCACATCAACAGGTTCAGATCCAGAAATGTCTGATTTTTTGGATATTCCAGGACCAGCAGGGGTCGTTACTGCAGACCAGTAGCGCAGGCCGATTGTTGGAGGATCATTACATTTTGGCAGGGGTTGTTACTGCAGACCAGTAGCACGGGCCGATTGTTGGAGAATCATTACATTTAAATAATTAAAAAAATAAAACATCTTCTAGACTTTATTCTGTCAGTATCAGGATGACACATTATTTTGAATTATTGTTAGATTATCTCTGAATGAGGAAAGTGAATTTATTTGACTGAAGTAAATTAGTAAAAATAAAGTTTTTCATATTGTCCCACTGCGGACCAGCAATAAATGACCTACGGACCGAAACTGGTCTGCGGACCAGGGGTTGGGGACCCCCTGATTTAAAGACTCAGTCGTTAAAGCAGCAGGCTGTCAAAGACACTCCTCTTCATCTTTGTCTTTTCAGAAGTTGCTGTTCTGATACGTTAAAATTTCCTTTTGCTGAGAATTGTTCTCATCATCAATTCATGTTTTTGCTGGTGATGTTTTGAGTGTTTCTGAGAGTGAGACATGGACGGGGACGGAGGGCAGTGAGAAAAGAGAAACAGAGAGAGGACGGACGGACGGACGGACGGATGGCTGGAGCAGCGACTACATTCCGACACGTCACATTCCTGTTCACATCTGGCTGCAATACACACATTTCCTGTTACTTACTATCCCCTGCTGCATTTCACAGACACACAAGATCAGAAGGTCTCTGACCTGCGTCCACACACGTACGTGCACGCATTTGTACTGACACCTGGTGGAGAAAAAAAAAAACTTAGGGGGAAAAAGCTCTGTAGGACAGATATCTAAAAAAAAAAAAAATGTAATTAGTACTCTACGGTAGATTCTAGAACTTTTCCTCCTCTCTCTCTCTCTCTGTGTCCTTTTATAAGCTCAGTTTTAGGCGGAGCTGCTGCGGCGGCGGCGGCGGCGTTACGGTCGGGTGGCTGCAGCCCTACTTCCTTGGTGACTCAGCCGTTCTCATGCACTCCCACATTCAAGCAGGAGAAACTTGATACCAATATTTACAGGGCTACACATGTGAGAGCACACACACACACACACACACACACACACACACACACACAGAGGAACAGGAAGTGCAGAGAAGACTGAATCTGATGTGTGGGCCGGCGGCCCCGGGGGGGGGGGGGGGGGGGACGGGACGGGGACGTGATGAGGCGGGGACCCCGAGACATTGAGGGACAGGTGGACAGGCCAACAGGCACAGACTGAGTTTCTCCACTGGCAGGTGTGAGCGTCTGTCAAAAATAATGCAGCACAAGTGCTACTGTCGGGGGGGGGGGGGGGGGTGGGGGGGGGTCGGGAGGGTCACCAGCCGCTGTGCAGTCTGACCGAGGAGGGGGGGGGGGGGGTTGTGTCCGACTTACTGTCAAAGTGGTCGTGTTTCTGTTTGAAGTTGGACTGCAGGCCGGTGCTGAGCCTGGACACGGGCGCCTTCAGGTCCGAGCGGCTCTGCTGGCTCAGCTTCTCCTCCATCTCCACCGTGCAGCAGGAGAAACCCTGCGGACACACCTTCAGCGGGGCCCCTGGAGAAGAGAGAGAAGAAGAAGAGAAAGGCCGTGTTAGCGCCATCTGCTGCAGGGACGACTTCTCCCACAGTCGCAGTTTCGTCTGACGTATCATGCGATCTTGAAAACGACAGGAGGAAATTTAGAAAACAGACTCGTTGGACCAGACCTGACGCTCGTAAAACACACAACGATGGGTGACACTGTAGATGTATGCGTGTGTGTTTGTTTATGTGTGTGTGTGTGTGTGTGTGTGTGCAGGCACACGGCCAGGTTTAATGCATATTTAAACGCCAGCTCATCAATCAGGAGCAGCGTTTCCACATTTCTTTGAAAATAAAGTCGTCGGCTCGTCCTCTCACTAAATCAGACGCCGTGAAAACAGCCGTAACTGCTCTTCAGTGGATTAATTGCAACACTTAGCTCCAGAGCAGCCTCTGGACGGACACTTTATCCTGGCAGCCTCTTGTCCTAATTGATAGTTCTGCTCTGAGTCTTTCTGTGTGAGCCAGCGTTGGCTGCCATTCTAAATCACACACACACACACACACACACACATCTCACAGGTTGGAGCGTTTGACTTTAGTCCTGAAACGTGGAGGACAAAACTATTTTTTGGGAGATTGTAGTTGTGCAGATCCAGGGGAGCGGCCTTTCAACCTTTAAGCTGATAATTATAAAAAAAAAAAAAAAAAAAAAACCTAAAAGGGGAACGGTTCAATGGGGGAAACACTGGTCTCTTGTTTGTTGTAATTTAAACTGGGCAATTTCCAGCTGACCTCTCCGACGGTCACGTGATGAGTTTTGAATGTCTTCTTTGTGAAGCAAAAAGTTTAAAAAAATGAAGAAAAAAAAAGACGGAGACGTCAGAGAAAAATAAATCATCGATCGACTTCGACGTCACGTCAATCAAACGCCAGTCGATGCTGTTGTCAATAAAAAAAATAAAAAAAATACCACCTCCGTGAACGCCATCTAGTGACCGCACCATCTAATTAAAGCGGGGTCGTGGGCAGAGCGATGCGTAGTCGCAGCTGCAATAATGTTTTGTTTCAAACACCGCTGCTGGAATTCGGTGGGAACACAGGGAGCCTTTCACTGCATCCAGACTCCGGCGGCCTGTTTGTTTTTCCCCAGCAGCTCGTGCTCGCTGACTGGAGACCTCAGTGCCAACGCAACCTACTGCGACGCGAGGGGCTTCGAGTTACCTGTAATATTTTCCTGCATTTAGCCGAAAAACACATTTATCATGTCAGGCGTTGAACCGACACCTTTTTCACCGGTGGTGTCGTGCACTCAAAAAAAAACAGAATGTTTTTTGTTTCTTTTTTTTTTTTTTATAAAATATGCTCATCTTGAATTATTTTTCTTCATACTCTACTGAGAAAAACTTGACTGCACAGTTTTCCTTTTGTTATCTCCACTGCTTGTTGCTATGTTTCAAGTGTTGCCATAACAACCCCAGACATGAGAATTTGTTATTGAGACATTTTAATGCTGGCTTGGATCCAAACTTGGATGAAGATGGTTCAGGGTCTAAATAATGTTTTTTTGTTATTCTGGAAAGACACCAGTGAGTCATCTGCAAAGAAGTTGACGTGAAGAACACAGTTATTCTGATGATTCTGATGAACCAAGCATTTCTTTTTAAATAAAAAAATGAAACAAAAAGGCAAATTGACTCTAATAAGTCAATCAAATTAGGAATGAAATAATTAAATAAATTAAAATTATATTCCTCAAAATCCAGGCCCTGGAGTGACCACATGTCCTGTTGATTTGTGGGACTGAACAGCACAAAGATTCTAATTTGTTTGAATTTTTAACAAAGAATTTTTGTCTTGTCACTTCTATCCATTGGTTTTTGAAAAAGTCGTCAAACTGTTAGCATCAGCTAAAACTGTCAGTCTGTCCCAAAAAGCAGCTCCGAATAATACGAGAATTTACGTTTGACATCCAATTCCAAAACTTTCAACTTTCAAACTCGACTGAACAAATTTGTTGAACGGCTGTGACCTCATAACTACAATATTCCACTGAAACACAACATTTTTCTCACAGCCTGGTCGTGACGACAATGACTTAATTGTACGATATTACAGTAGAAAAAAATCACCAGACACAGACACCGTGAACGCTGCCTTAAAATTAGCCTCAGGTCCGTTAGCTTCTCTCACAGTTATGCTCTCCCCTTCGACACACACACACACACACACAGATACACACCCATGTCGGGGCACGGTTGGCAGCCACTACCATAACATATTCATACATCACATCGCTGCTCAACACATGGCTCTTTGTACCGCGGTGATCGGAGGTGCTGGGAGCGCAGCACATGCACGGAGCAGAGTCACAGACTAAACGTTCAGGTTAGAAAGGCCGTCCAGTCTCTCTCTCCCCCCCTGCCCCCCCAGGCACACAATTAAAACATCTACGGCCGCACGGAAAATAGCCCCTAGTTACCAAAGTACACAAATAAAGTGAGACGGTCAATACGGCACAGGAATGTCTGCACAAATGTCACGTTGTGAGCACACGCTGAGGATTAGCTCTCGGAGAAACTGAAGATTCAGAGCTGATGCGTTTCTTGTCAAATTCTTGTCGATTTTTCTAACAAACGGCACAGAAAGGCTGCTCAGCGATTCAGAGCTGATGCGTTTCTTGTCAAATTCTTGTCGATTTTTCTAACAAACGGCACAGAAAGGCTGCTCAGCGGCTAACAGCAGCTAACAGCAGCTAACAGTGGCTAACAGAGGTTAACAGCTTGTGTTTCCGCCAAGTACGTTTATATTTTATAAGATAGTAGTTAATCAGAGGTGAGTATTGGCAAGAATGTGGCGATACGATACGTATCACGATACAGGGCAACGATACGATATATTGCGATACTATGAGTATGATGATAGTATATTGAGGTTTTTTTCCTGCCCAGTGTAGCTGTAGTCCCAGTGTGATCCTAGTCTCAGACTCTGTTCCATCTGAACATCAGTTCCTAACACTGGAACAGAGGGATCTACATTTGGAATCACTAGAGAAGAAAGAAAAGAAAAAGAACATGAACCAACACCATGAGGTTTAGGAGGAAAGTCTTAGTGATTATCTCTGCTGAAGTCAGCTTCACTTTGGTGATAGCGTCATTGGTGACGACCAGAATCTTTATATACACTGTATATAGACAGATATATATGTTAGAAAAACATATACTGTATATCAACCTGTTTCCCAAGTCGTTTAAACTCTTACTCTCACTCGGAGTCGGAGCGCTGACGAAGTGTCGCTGTGACGAGGAAATCACTGTTTACGGCCGACAGAACAAGAGGCCAGCGTCTTGTAAACAAGTGTGGTGGTATCATCAG